TTGACAGGTGCCATAGAACAGGACTGACATTAACATCAGTCTTTACTTACTTAACTAATTCTGATCTTTCATTCTGTTTCTTGAGGTTGGGTTTTCCAAATCTCTGMGTCCAGCTCTGAAGATATTCACCAGAAACTGCCTTATGCATGGACTACAACAATTTTAAAATCAAATATGACAAAGTGGGGTTTTTAATTCCATAAGCAACATTAGAATAAATAGTAATGTTTTCATGATGTAGAATACAGATTATGGGATATCATCACTTAACAAATAAGAAAGAGAAACTATAATTTTAGCTACTGTAATGGAAGGTAAGAATTATCTCAACAGAGGTGGTTTTAGGAGTTAGTGGTGACACAGTATTTTCTGATTATGATTAATCTACAGATAATCTACTTCTTTCAAGTAGTTGTGAAACACTGTTTTAATATCTTTTGAGAAAGAAACCATGGCTCATGAAAATAATTTTGTATTTTGATGATTTACTGTGATCTTTAGCCTGTTGCCATGCCAGGGCCTGAAAGTGGTTTGCCATAAGATATTGTGACCAGAATCAGGCTTTAGAGTTCTTCATGCTGCTTGTATTTAAGCCTTCTATTTTTGCATAGTACAAGATAGCCTTAACACCCYGGAGGATCCCCATTCAGAACTGGCCAAATGTTTAAAATGTATCATAGCTTCCAAATGCGTCAGCCATTCTCTGATTACGAACTATAGTGCTTAAATATCAAGGAATGGAGGAGGTGCCAGAATAGTTAAGATTTACACTGCCTCAATTCTCCAAGGAAGGAAAATTGAAATTTGTAAAGCAGGCTAGATTTAAATAAACAAAAATCTTTGCTGATAGGTAATTATAAGTATTAATTACTTGCAAGTTATTGAAGTTAACTTGTATACATTTTTATCTGCAGCACCGTTTCTAAATTTCAACTGTTGTATCTTGCTGTTTATTTGACTGTTCATGTACACTGGCAAAATTATAAACATATTCAGATTTAATAAAATCAGCACGGTATCTTAGCAAAAAATCATCATTCATAGTAATAGGTTTAGTGGTACGTGACTATAATATCAAGCAGTTTTCCATGTGTGAAGTGTAGATGCTACAATGTACTGTACATTGTATAATATTTTTGGCATATTGTTCCTCATGGAATGGGTTATTATCCCTGCTCTACTCCTTGGGGAACTGAGTAGCCCAAAGTCCAAAAAAATTGATGCTGCAGCAAAAAATGAAGCTTGCATTTCTTGGCCAGACTCTGTATGTCACCTTTCAATAGCTGTGTAATGTRTTTGCAAAGCCAAGAAAAAGAAGAGCAACAAAAAAGCTTATTGTTTGGGGCTTATACAGGACACATCATATTGTGTGATTATTTAAATGAGTGCTGTTGTCTTCCCACCTATGAGACATATCATGTCTAAGAATTACCTGTTTTAGTGAACTCTATGAAACCTATCTGTCRTTTACCCTCATGGATTCTGGATCCCAGCCTTTAATTGTTGAGAACAGCACAGAGCTCATCCCAACACTGAGAATACCTGAGACTATCTGTGGTGCAGCTGCTCTGGGGTCTTCCATATTACCATGTTYCCCAAAACTCTATAATCAGCTGACTTAATCATCTAGTTGAAAACAACTTTTATGACACAAACAGATCATATGGTTTCCCTACAAGCAAARTGCTCCATTTCATAGGACCTGAGCATGAGGACCTGAGCAACAGGACTTGCAGACCCTGTTAGCCCATCAGTAAAATGCTGTTTGTGTTACTGCTATACGCTGATGCTCTCACCAGGTTCCTGTCTTAGTGCCATGTGTGTTGGCTTAGTGTTCTTAAATATTTATGCTTAGCCTGGTCAGCAAAAAGTTTATGCTGAGCAATATTTTATGGTAAAATTGGAACAGCAAGAAAGATTGGCTTAAAAAAATAGTAGTGCTTTGATTTTTATCAGCTGATGTTTTACCTAATTAACTTACCTCAAAATTGATCAGCTTCTGTGCTATTTTTTTTCCTTTGATGGTTTTTTTTCCCCTAATACTACTCTGTTGACCTGCACGTTTTTATAACTGTTTCATGACCACCAGATAAAAGTACCGGAGGTATGTGCTCATACATACATGTAGAACRGTGCACATAGAGTGTCTGACTAAAAATTATGTCAACCAAATATATGCCTCCTAGATCTGCGTTAATTTAGCCAGCCTTAAACTCTCTCTGCTTCCTTCTCAATATTAGTCATGGTACTGAAATAGGTATAAATTTGGCTGTTAGATAAAGAAATTTAAACATATTAAAATTATTATTCTTTCTCAGAAGAATGAAGTAAGCAATAGCAATGAAGAGCAGGACAACAGGTGTATGGAATACAAGATGGTGAAGATGAAGTAAAAAAAGTCAGATAAACAGACTTTCAAAGCTGACTGCTCCTCACAGTCAAAGGATCTCWGCTATGTGTGTAAAAGGTTGTTGTGAAAAAGACATGGTCATTTGTGGTGCCAGCTTAACCGCAGGCAACTTACATGATCTTGGACATTGTACTAGACCCCTTTCTAACTGAGGCTAATGTGTTTAATAATATTTATCATCAATGTTTACAAAGCTCTTCAGGATTCTYGCATGAAGCACAGTTTAAAAGATTGCAAAATCATATGATTCCCTTAAGGGTATTCCCTTAAGAGAGGCCTTTACCACTTAATACTGCTTGAGGAGGGAATTGGGAGATCCACAGGTTGTGCTTAGTAAAGTGTGTGGATTTTGTACTGTGACCTCTGCTCATCTTCTGTTCCTCCCAACCTATGTGTTCAAGGAAGGAGATGACTAGGTTTGTGGCTTTGCTTACCCACATGCACCCGGACCCAGTACCCAGGATACAGAGCTGATAGTATTAGTCCCTGTGTTCTCTGCAGAGACACGTAACAAAAGCCATAAAACCAGAGAACAATAACTTCTTGACTCTCATTTTAGCTATCCTGTGAGTATCTTGCTGTTTGCCAAGGCTCTGCCAATTCTCGTGGAGAGGTTTCTATGCCAGCATATTTAACCCTTCTCCAGGTTGCATTACAGCTGTAATTTGCACCCATTTGGACATGGCAACATCTGCCTTCCTAGCAGGCARGGAGCTGCACTATGAGCACTTTCTTGATGCTGCAAATTAGTAGAGCATGAAGCTATATGAGGATGTGAACAATGTGAGCAATAATAGACATGAGAGAGGTGATATGTTGTGCAATCTAATTTTTTTTTCTGCAGCCTGGAGTCATATCTTAGTTGGGTGATTAACAATGGGCTGCATTTATTTTGGTTGATTGTTTTTCATCTACCCTCTTCACTCAAAAAAGTAAAACTGGACACGTTCTTTGATGGCCAAAATTCTGCTCAGACAGATGAATAATCCATGGAGASTTTGGCATTGGAGGATATTGACTTGGGCAGAGAAAAAACACCACTTATATACCTTGTGTGTAAGTCAGCTGGAGGGTAAGAAACATGGAGGTGAAGGAACTTGTCCCTTCTACACATGCCTTCTAGGAGTCAAATACCACCATATTTTCAAACAGCCCCAAAGCMCTATGTTATCTGAATTGCTCAACTAGGTATAAATTGCTTAGAAAATTGAACTTCCCATTTGTTGTGAGCACAGGATGCCCTTTGGCTTACTACAAAATTTAAACTTATATAAGAGACCAGCAGGCAATTGAGAGCCAGCCTTGTGGCTGCCTACTATACATGATGTGAGCTGCAGATGGATATTTCACGACAAATTGCAGRCACGCTCTTGTCTTTTTCACCCCTCCCACTTCTTAGTGGCACACAATACAGGGAGGCACAATGCATCATATAGGTTGTAAAAAGACCTGATGAAATGCTATTTGTTCCAGTCATTGTATTGTATTGTTCAGTCATAATCATGATTTTCCATATTAAAAATAGTTGGCATAACTTTATGGAGAAAGCTAGTTCCCCAAGAAAGTTCAGGCTATTGACCTAACCTGGAACAGCTTACATACAACAGGAAACTGAGATATTTGTGGCTGACCAATCACCAAATACTTGCAGTTGTTTGTCTCCTCTAATTAAATGCATCTGACTTCTGTAAGTCTCTTCCAGCTCCATTTTCTACAGTCTGTTTTTAATAAGAATAGAAATTAAGACTATAATTGTCTTTTTGAGATCTTAGTAGATCAAGATTAAGTAAAGTCATTTAAAAAGTGCTACTCATGGTTTTACATTTTCATCTTGGTTCTGTTTTTGTCACTGTGTTTCATTTATTCTCCCAGGTTTGTGTTACACCATTGTAAAAACAATTGCAAGGATTTGTTTGGATGCTCATCCTTGTACACAACTCTTTTCATTTTGAGGGTGGATGTCCTGTCTAAAGGGGCCTGTTGTTAAACTGCAGAATGAACACTGATATTTTCTATATCCTCTGTGTCAATTTCAAATGCAGTTGTAAAAAGCAGATCCCTTCCTGGGGAAAGAAAGCACACAGATGATTGCCTCTGAAGATTCAGGCCCACAAGACCACGTAAATTGAACATCAGCATTTCTCTTCTGGATAGTATCAGCATCCATTTTATTCTTAATAATTATTAAAGACATAAAAATATTCTGAAAACTGCCAACTCATGTATGAGGGCTCATTCATTAATGACATCTATATACCATTTTACCTTATTTTTTCTTCCTTTAATTTACAATAGATTTTGAAGTCCTTTAGAATTCCTAGAAAAGCACTAGTAATTGGAAATGGCATTAATATCACACCATCTGACACCAGTTCCTTTTTAATTTGAATTACTGAAGCAAGAATTTAACCCAACTCTAGTCTGTATCACAGGCATAAAATTTATACCTGGCTCACAGGCCTGTACCATGAGAAAAGCCAGATGAAGGAGTAGATATGCAAAATGGTCTTTAATTAAAGACTCCTACATCAAAGAGAGCTTCTTGGATTGTTTAGGCTTCATTGAGATACACCAGGAAAAACAGGTTTCATATTACCGTATTTCTGCTGCAGCAACAACGTAACAGTGATGTTTAATCAGGAAGGAGGTCTGGTCACTAATAAAAATGAATGGTTGGAGAATGGAAATGGCCTTGGGATGGCAAGCATGCCCAGCCAGGTATAGCACAGGTAATATTTATCGCTTTACTTTTCTTGCTGTTGGTCTTAACTGGTTTTGTTTGKTTGGTTGGTTGGTTGKTTGGTTTGTTGGTTGGTTGTATTTTTTTTKTTAAATTTCTCATCTTCTGCTCTCTCTGAGGTATCTTAATTGCAAGGAACATGATGCTTGTATTTCTTTAGCATATCATAGAATCCTAGAATTGTTTGGGTTGGAAGAGACCTTAAAAATCATCAAGTTACAGCCCCCCTGCCATGGGCACAGACACCTTCAACTCGACCAGGTTGCTCAGGGCCCCATCCAGCCCAGTCTTGAACACAGGGATGGGACATCCAAAACTTCTCTTGTGAACCTGTTCTTTATAAAGAACATCTCTCCCAACAGCACCTACATGAGTACCTATCTTTACCTCTGTTCTACTCAAGTAGTATCTTAGCAAGAAGGAAAAGCAAATTGCCTGGAAGTGTTTTAATTGAGGATTTCAACAGAGGTCCACCCTTCCAGCTGAAAGCATCTTGTAGGTGTCTTTTCTGAGCTTGGGAATATGAGCGAGCCATTCCTCATTTTGCTTTTGGGCATATTCACTAGGAGGCAGTTGTTTGCCTTATTTCAGGTCTCATCCAGTTTCCACCTAAATCCCTGAAAAGGCTCTYGCTGTTTTTTAGTTTTCCAAGCTAGTACTAAAATCCTGCAAAAATTCCAGAAACAAAGGTAGACCATTTGTGACCCCAATCACTTAGCATGCCTTTGGGCATGGAGTTTGTAAATAAACCCATTATTTACAGGGGTTGGATCAGTGATTTTTTTAAATTCCTGCTACCTACTATAGAGCTACTGGCATCATGCTTAGTATTTTATACCAGGCCTACATAAGACCCTGACAGAATGACAGGTAACCAAACCTATACGCAATTCTTTACTTGGCTCAACCACCAGGCTAGCAGCTCATTTGTAAAGGAATAACTTCAAACAAATGGCAATAAAATTCTGAACAGCTGCCATGACTGTTTAATATGAGCAAATATTTTTATTTGGACTTGATTTTTCTTTCTGTAAACTGAATTTTGTTTATACTGTAAAATATGCAGGCATATTCAAATCTGTATGATTTTCAAAAATATCACGCTGCATCTGCAATTTTGGTTTTTACTCAGGCTGCAAAATTGAAGGCATATCATTATTGAAAGAGTTTATGTTATCAAATACAAGTTACAGAATGTTACAGATCATACAATGTAACAAATACATCAAATTAATTTGATGTTTTCAGGAGCCTTATGAAAATGTTAAGGAGTCTAGTAAAGCTGTTAGTTTTTGAACATAACATTTGAATGGGTTGGAGTGCCAGAGGCTGGAAAAACCTGGTGCAAATGGACTTTTGGATTAAATGGCAACAGTTCCAAGACCCCTGCTTGGTGTTACCAGGGCATTCTTCATGGTCCATATGCAGACAATGCTAAAGGCTTTAGTGACTGCAATTTTAAGAAGGAACTTTGTATGCACCAATATGCATACAAAGCATCTTTACCGGGGTCTAAACATTGTCCCAGTCCTGCCCACTATAGTTAAAGGGCAAGCAAGGATAAAAGCATCCTAAGTCTGTCCATGCCTGGCTCCACCATCTCTGCCTTAGAAGTGTACATGGTTTGAGAGGTTGGAGAGGTCAGGTCTTCCTGGTATTTAGCACCRACCTTCCAAAACATGCACTGTCTCAGTACATTTATTTCAGCCAGAAGTCAGGGAGGTCTGGGAGTCTTGTCTGTCCACAGTTGTTAAGTTATAATCTAACTTTGCAGGGTTTAAATAAGAATGACAATGCTAAAATTTGTTTGTAGACTTAAGCCCTGAGAAATTGATAATTTCCTCACCTATGACCAACTGTCTTGGATCACCCTTTGAGACTTCAGTCTGCTTCTTCCATTCAAATACAAATATGAAAACTTATTTGAGTTAGTAAATATTTTTTTGCCCTTTCAGGTTAACRAATACATCACAGTGAGGATTGCAGAATGCTTTGCAATTAGGTTCTTCTGCAAGTAGCAACATGAAGGTGTGTGCTTGTCTTTGGCACTGCTGCAGGGTGTGGCTCTTCCACAGTTTGGAGGGTTAGTGTGTTGTAACTGCTACAGGATTGTGTTTTGTGAAGGCCATTTAAAAATATTATTTGCTCTGAAAACTCTGGAATTTATGAGCTTTCCTATAAAATACCATGATAATGTCCCATGATTATTTCCTTTTAATTTTGCTAACTGCATTGCCACTGAGCGATGAAGTTAAGAGATTCTAGAGATAAAACATAAACTCTTGTGGATTTATGCCAGTGTCCACCTACTACAGATATGGCCCAAAGGGATAGTTATTTCTTTGTAGGTAGATTCTTATTCCTGCCCTTTTTTTCATTCTAATTTCCCTAATGATTTAATTATTCTCTATTCAAAATTTTTGGTGATTAAGTCTCTACCATCCTACATCACTCAGCTGAATATTCTTTTTTCCCCTGAAAGGATGGTTAAATATTACCGGTATTTTATCTAGAATTCTCTGATCTGACAGAGAAAATACTAAGTGTACTGACTGCCCATTCTGTGGTAGCTATAATTTATTGTGCTGTAGGAAGCAGGTGCTGAATGAAGCCCCAAGAAATCCTGATCCCTATCTTTCTGGTCTTTACTTTCATGCAGTGAGCTGTCTATCCATCTAGGTTAACTGTCCAGCCAAAATCCTACATCTTTATGACAATTGCTGTCTTATAGTTAGGTTGAAAAGTACTTTGGTGAAGTAGATTTTTGAGTGAYTTGCCAGTCAGGAAAAATATATTTTTGAAAGAGTTGGTAAAGCAGAAGAAATCTATGAACCAAGTTATAAAAATAGATAAAAAATAGATTAAAAATAGATTTTATTTCCTTCTTCCTGTTATTTATGAAACCATTTAGTCTAGAAAATGTAAAAGCATACATTGGATATAGGAAGCATGTATATATCTTATTTAGTTGAAGAGAAATTTTTATTGAGTCCTGAACTTCTGAGAAATTCCATTTGTCAGTTGTTAAAGACATCTTGTAGAACGTCCACAATGTACAGTTCATAGGCTCAGATATTAGGACACAATCCTTGAGGCTATTACAGCCAGCTCCACTATATTTAGCAAAAACACTCCCAACCTCTCATTTGCACAGCTTTCTGCTTACATGGACAAGAAAACATTCTAAAGGAGGGAAGAAAAACTAGTAAATGTGCATATTCAAAATCTAACCTATGTTTTATTTGTTTGGAAACAAACTAATAGCCTTCAATTTTGGATCACACAGTTCCCAGATCGAGGCCTACTTTGTCACTGATTTTGGCAGTGGTGGTGTATTTCAGGAGTTGACTGCATATACCTTCAGAAAATGTCTGACCTTCCTCTGCAGCCCTTAAGGAAGGGCATAATTCAGTCTGCAGATGCTCTCTCAATTACCTCAGGTATGCCGAGATCACAAGGGAAGAGGAAAGAGAACAGCAAAGCTTCCAAGTAACAACCTCCTCTCCTTATAAATCAAATGCAGTCAGCTCCTCCTCACAGCATGTATCTTACCCTTTCAGGTGAATAAAGGGGACAAGCAAAAGAGATAAAAGAACTACTTTTCCCCCGGTCACTAACTTTTTCTTTTCTGATTGCTTACTTAAGCCACACAGTAAGAATTTACACTCTTTTTTTCTTGAGATATTTTTATCAGTACCTCAGAGCCTTTGTATGACACTCTAAAAGCAGCAACAACAATGAAACTGCACTTGTGAAGGTTTGAAAAAATGCCCATTGAAAAAAATGCCCATTTAAAATCTTTAAATACTCTTTTAGCAAATAAGGTTAACTTTTTTTTTTTTTTTTTTTAATTGCCAGCCACATTTATGATAGTAGCATCCAAAAAACTCGATTTGGAAGCAATGCTTCTCTATAGCATTGTTATTAGTTTATGGAGACACAAGCCCATGTGTCTAGTGCTTGATTGATGCTCTGCTCTTTCAAGTGCCACCACCTGATAAATGTTATATATAGAAGATCTGAGCTTCAGACTTGCTTTCCCAGAGTTTGTTTAGTGTGTGGTCATAGTACTTTGTTTGCCTTCTTAAAAATGGATAAGGGGGCAGCCAGAAAAACAGAGGGAATATTGTTTACAGAACCTTTCCTGAGTCCTTTCCTTTTTAAGTACAAGGTGGTCTGTATTTGGTTTTAAATCATCTGCTACTCTTAGATGAATGTCTTTTTGTTCAATCCATTAAAACTAAGAGGTTTGCAATATCCTTGGCAATTCTCTGAAACCTGACTTCAGCCAGCCATGGCACATTTTGCTAATGCAAGTTGCTCTTGTTTTGCCATTAAACCTTCCCTTACCATTATGTTCTCCTGCAGAGCTTCTGTTTTACTGAATAGTAACATCAAACCAGAGAAGCATGTGACTGGGCTCTATGTAAATAAAAGAAGGAATGTACTGTATGCCTTTAATTCACAACTTTAGGAATCCAAGCTAAGGTTGGACAATGATGACTCCAATGCAAACATGGAGGGTAGTAGTTTACTAGCAGTTCGTTTCTGGATGTAGTTAAGTAGTTCACCTGTGCCTTCAAGCCATTACATCATTGCATGGGATGCACTGTGCACGGGCCAAGAACAGTAGTAGCTTTTCAAACTGAAGTAATCCACAACTGTTCTTTATGCTGTRTCTGCAGTTTCTCCAAACAGGACAACAAGGTTACATGATTTCTCACTGAATCTTTGGTGGCTCAAGGTTCTTTTGCGTCTTTGAGGAAAGCTTGCTTTTATTGATACCTTTCCTATGGGTGAATAGCAACAGTGGTTTTTTACAAACTTCACAATGTCTAAAAATGAGCAAAATTAAAGTAACAAATTGCTTTTAATTCAATAGAAGTAGTCTGTAGCACAAATAATAAAGTAAAAGTATCATAAATCTTAGGTGCTTTATTATTACTTCAGTTATGTTGAAATTGTAATCTTGTCTTACATACATGTGGAGCTGAAAAACAATATTTTGCACACTCCCCTGTGGTCTGTGAGATCACTTACGGTCTATTTTCCTGTTTCATTTATTTTAGACTGATTCCCTTTTCTCTTTGGCTCCTTCTAGCACAATATACCCTCAGCAAACATCATATCTAGGCCTGGGCTCCTAATAGCTCTCTCAGTTTTAATGCCTTTCTCTTCATTATCTAGGGTTGATCCAACTTTCTCAAACAGCAACAATCTTTCTATTAGTTTCAGAAGACTATAGGGGAAAACCTATGGACTTCAGAGTTGTTTTTTTTTTGTTTCCTGGTCCAAACATTTCACAGGATTTGCTGTCACAATGAGGAAGTTGTATTCAAAAGATACTATCGTTAGAACAGATTAGCAGGTGCTTATTGATGACATGATGTCTTCACTAGAGGTGTAAGGATCAGATTCTGGTTCTTGGCATTCCTGCTGCCTGCTTTACAGCACCAAAGGACCAATCACCCCCCC